TTAAGATTTCGTTTTAGAAAACATTTTTTTTATTATTTTTTGAAGATGCTTTTTAATATAAAAAAAATTTTGATGCAATGAAAAAAAATTGGGTAAAATCTATCCTAAACAATGCGTGAATGTAGAGTGAAATTTTGATATATTTGAAATGCACCATAAAAAATGAATGCATGAGATTATTTTTTTTTAAATTTGATTTGAAGTAAAATGAATGCAATGTAAAGTGCAAAGAGGGGAATAGTAGGTGGTAGATAGTGGCAATGATCGGTAGTGGTGTATGCATTGTGGCGGCTAGCAATGGTTGACATGCGCCAAGATCAAAATGGAAAGAATTGTTTATTTTATCTTTTAATTATTTACCAAAGCCTCTATAAAATTATCAATATGAATCAATATGTCTAGCAAAAATAACTAAACATCATATATATTAAAATCTTTCACTATATTCATTCATCAAAATCTCTTTTATAATAACCAGTAAATCATTACAATCAATAATTCATCACAAGTTCCTAAATATAAAACAATAAACAAAATACATGACTGTCAAAAGAAAATTTTGGAGATATCAATCAGCCTCACTCCATAGAGTCCTGACCCCTTTCCTGACCTGAAATCAATAAAATTATATATTGAGCTTACAAAGCTCAATAGGAACCCAAAACTCACTAAAACTTTCAATGCAATATTCGAAAAAATAATATACGTGCTCATCTCAGTTAATATAATAACTAGTTGTTAATATAATCAATAATCAATCATCAATAGTACAAGTCAATATGACCAGTAATTAAAAACAAGAATCATTACTCTTGAATCCTTAATTCAATAACATGTGAGAGGAAGTAAATGTGTCAATAATCAATTAAGCAATACAGTAGGAAATAATACATCGATACGACAATCATTCAATATATTCTTCTACCAGTGAGATGAATTATGAATGTACATGTGTCATATAAGTATGTCATGTATCATTATTGCATGTTGTAGTCCATGAAACCATGAATGATATAATAATATGCATGAACATGAATAATGCATGCCTTAATCAATGATCCATCTCATATAGTTCTAATCATTAGTTATTTATCTATTATTATGTATGTTATCAACGTAATATAGTCGATAAAGGTAGGACATCCATCTTTGATAAGTATTTCCATCTTTCTATCTATCATCCATCAATCTTAACAATTATTCGTTAACTCAATTATCATTACATGTGACTTTCAATAATCTATAAATAGCCATCACTTTCTAACCGTTGGCGTAATCAGTCATCAATTATATTCTACAACTAAGATAACATAACAAATCATCTTTAGGAAAAATCTCATCGCCCCATCCTCTTGCACAGTGTATTATTATTTTAATAGTCAACCCATATTAATTATAATATTAGCAGCCAACCATCCTTACTTATATGTAATGACTATATGAATGTTCATCATGTATCAGTTATTTCATTTACATAATATTCAATAATCATATAAAATGCATATACACTACTATGACGTGCATGCCAATATTCTAGTTAGTTGCATATCAAAATCCTAATTTACTACTAAGCAAATGTGTCATGTAAATCAATTTAAGCTTCAATTTCATTATTACATGCAATTCAATAAATTAGGCAAATCACTTAGAAAATTATAACAGTCAATATAGCCGGTGAAATTTAATAAAATTAATATCAAAATGCCAATAAAATTAATATTTATCATACACAAAAAGTTACAAAGTAAAAATTTGATAAACCAAAGAAAAATATGTTTTTATCACTTCTCGAGGGAGTTAAATAAGTAAACACAAAACCATTGAAAATAAAAATGGATTTGGGTTACTTACAATGATTAGAGGATTTTTACTGAGGAAATTGACGAAAAAAATCAAAAGAAGCTTTCTCTCTCCTCTCCCTTTCTTCCTCTTCTTACATGGCAAGGCGCCATGAATGAAGAGGAGAAGGGCTTAGTGATTAGGTTTTATGGAGTTTAATATATATATATAAAAATACAGTTCATAGCCTAGCGCCCCGACGCTCAAGCATCACAACACCGTAGTGTTGTAAGCCTAGTCCCAGTGCCGTTGCACTCAAACACACTGGCATTGATGCATTGAATTTTTCCAAAAATTATAAGAACATCAACGACACGGTGCCACCATGTAGCTCTTACTAGTGTTGTTGTGCTCGCAAGTGTAGTTCCATGGCGCTCCATGCAGAAATTCAAAATTTTCAAATAATTTCATTTCAAAGTCATTTTTGGGTTGTTACGACGGTGACGGCTGGCGTCGATAGATTCCGGTGGCATGCTTGATAGCAGGCTACAATGGAGGGCGGCACCTCCAGTGGTCAGCCGCTACCGATGGTGGGTGGTGACTGTGGTAGTCGGCAACGATGGAGGGCTGCGACTGCCAACAGTGGCGGTCGACAACAATGCTGGTCGTTGGTGGCAGGCAATGGTGGACAATGGCTGGCGACTGGCACATGGTGGTAGCAGGCAGCGATAATTGCAATGAAATTTTGACGTATTTGGAGCTCACCCAAATAAGAGGAATTACAAATACACACAAAATGAACTAGATTGTGAATTTCAAATGTATTAAAATTTTACACCGAATTTATTTTACTTCAAACTAAATATCACTCTCAAAACCCTTGCATTTGAAATACTTTATACTCCATTTACATGCAACCAAATAACCCCTATGTGTATTTCAAATTCATTTGATTTGAATTTTTTCATATATGATAAATTTATTGTCATTATCACCGCTTGTCGTCAGTGACTTGCCAATCGCCATTAGCCACCACTGCCTCATCACCAACCACCACAATCACTGTCAACCAGACCACCACTATATTTGGACTTTATGCTGCATGTATTTTACTTCGAGTAAAAAATAATAATGATTGTCATTTCTTTTATAATCATTCAAATAAATTCAATATATTTCAAATATAATGTACTGATTTTATATTGCATTTTATCCTTTCGCAGCGGACAAAACAGCCTCTAAAACTCGTACTATACTAATCTAAATACACTGCAGAATTTTAGTGATCAAATATATATTAAAAAATCATATTAAAATAATTTCACATTGATGTTATTTTATGCTTCCACTAAGGTTTTTTAATAGTGACATGTAATATCTAAATTTTAAAAATATAATGTTCGATTTCTTCACCTATGATAGAAATTTATATTAAAAAAAATAAAGAAATTTTCTCATAACTTTGACGACATAATAATATTTTCAAGATATTTATAGCCACATGTACTTGATAGATATTGACATGGAAAAATAATAAAATTCAAAGTTATTTAAATCAATATAAATATTTGCAAATAAATAAACATGTAACAAACATAATTATATTTATTAAGAACATGCCACATGCCGTGTTTTTAAGAATATCATAATAAAAAACGTACCGTCATTTTTCTTTCTTCTTCTAATACGTGGATGACTATCGTATAATTTGGTTGACAATTATTGCCTGTTTAAACTTACAATATATATATATATATTAATTGATACATTATCAAAAAATTATCTTGATAAGGCACGAATCTTGAGGCAGAATCAAGTTGGAAATTTCAAAAATTAAACCGGAGACCATATGAATTCCGATTTCAGCAAACTTACAGTCGAACTGAGCGTCTCGGAAACACGAACCCAACGACACCAAAATCAACTCAATCCAAGCCCAGATGAGTCCAAATCAAAGACTCAAAACACTTTTGGAAGGATCGAACCACAATTTGGGTTACCAAATGATCTTCAATCATTACATGCTTATAGTCGAATCGAGCGGCTCGACTAGACGAATCCAACGAGCCCAAGATCATCAAATTCTGATATCATTAAGATAGTCAAATATCCATTGAACGGTGCATGATCGTAGGAATCAAGATCGGCCGTCCATTTGAACAACTCCAAATTTACCCTTGATCTTCCACTTATTTACAAGTCATGCCACTCAAGAATTCTATAAATAGAACCCCATTTCCTCATGAAAAAGGGGAAGAAGCCAAGAGAGAAGAAGGAAGAAAGCTTCAGCCGCCTAGCTCCTCCTCGACCATCGCCGAAGTTCTGCCGCACCACCGCCGGACCACCAAGGGACGTCGGTAATAATAATAATAATAATAATAATAATAATAAGAGAGGTAATTTCTATTTATACCAATCTAAATTATCTAATTCATATATTTCATATTAGGCCGATGAGTTTTTCATATATAACACTCGAAATTATCTAATTTACGCATCAAAACTTATTATTTATGCCATTTAACACCCACATTAATGATGTAAGCTGATGTTACCAGATTTATTTGTTAAATTTCACAAGCGTGGCTTCGGTGGACACAGAGAAAGCTCTCAAGCACGTGGGGAACAAGCAATTATTACGTCCGGTCAAATTCGAACGTATCCGAATGTATACCGAGCAATACCGAGTTTTAGGTGACGTGGCGTGTGGTTATTGGTCTATGAACGCATTCGGTGACCGGACGTAATAATTGCTCGTGGGAAACAGGATTATAGGCTATAGCAGGCAAGGTAGGCAGTGAGCTTGCAAGCAAGCATAACCAAGTTTGCAGGCAAACTGGCAGTGGGTCTTATAGCTATAGACATGTGAAATTATTCTGTCCGGATATGGACGCCGTTCGGAGGCGAATTAGAATGCGTCATGTCATTCGTTTGCTGTGTGCCGCGGCTGGGTATCGTTGTGTACCGAGTGACTTTGCACGTTTTGATTCGCCTCCGAACAGCTCGGTGTCCGCACAGAATAATTTCTTTGTAGGCAGACATGCAATGGCGCGCCGCTCACAAGCAAGGGAATCAACATCTCTGGCGACACAGGCGACGCCACCTACAACTCACTGATGGTAAGGGCTTTTGGCAGAGGTGACAGATGAGTTTTTCCTTGACACACGACAAATTGTAAGACCAACAATTCAAATGAAGAATAAGTAAAAAAAAAAAAGAAATTTAAAATAAGAGAAGAAATTCAATATCAAATGACTGAAATATTTTTTTTATAACCTGAGAGAAGCAATAGCTTCAGGTTTGAAGTCAATTCTGAGACCTAAAACCCTTCTCACATCAGCAGGCGTAAGCAACCAAGTCATGTGCCCAGCATTCTCTCCCCAGAAATCCATTATCTCAGAAACCCTTTCAAAGTTCAAGATGGTGGTCATCTGTGACAGCCGTGCAAACTTATCCCTTACAGGCCTTTGCGACATCTCCGAGAAATGATTGACCAAAGCTCTCACCTCCCGATCGAGCTGCAGGCCGCCGAGCTGGCTGAATCTTTTCTGCATCATGATCACATCGAGCCTCTTCACGGTGAAATCAATCACCAGATGAACAAAGGAGTCGTAATTGTTCGATGTCATTATAGGTTGCAGCCAGGCTACATTAGTCTCAATTGCATGGAGAAGCTTCTGAACCCATGGATCATTGACCTCATTATCCTCGTATTCGGTATCTGAGAGTTCGTAGCTTACGGTGGCGACTGAGTCGAGAACGGGACGGATGCGGGGGGAGATGCTGGCTAGCAGCTGCTCCAATCCAGAACTTAGGATTCGCTTGAAGGAGCTGTTTATCTCACCCAGCTCAGACAAGCAGGATTTAACTTTCTCCCTATCGGCAGATGCCGGGAAGACCTGGAGTGCAGCCACTAAATCTTTAGCTAAGAGAAGGATGCCAAGATTGGGGAAATTAATCTGTGCGGAGTCCGAACGGAGCGCATCATTCGGATGCTGCGTATGCAGTGCGTATGTGCTGCGTACACATTAATTATTTACTGCGTATTTGTAGATATGAGCAAATAAGCAACAAATCAATGATACTCACTAAATACCTGCGTATCTATAAATACGTAGTGTATATGCAGCACATATGAAGTGTATATGCTGCAAATACGAAGTGCATACGCAGCATCCAAACGATCCTCTACGTTCGGACTCCGCACAAAATAATTTCCCGGAAAATTGATGCTTCTTTTGGTATTTGCTAAAGCTGTGTTTTGCATAAAATAAATAAATTGACGGCCGTAAACATGAACAAGCTGCTAGTTATGCGAGTGATAGCATGTGATTGTTAGGCAATATAAGGAATAAAAATTGGGTCAGTGTCAAGCTCAGCGGTAAGTTTTCCCCAAAATAGAAAACCATGACACCGCAAATTTTAAGGGGAAATAAATTAGCATCTAAAAAGCATTCGCTAAATGAGCCCTGAAGGTAGGAAAAAAATTGAAAGATGAACTTCCCATAACAACAGAGTGAATAAAGCATTCAAAATATGACAAATAATGAAGATTGATGCTAAGTTAATTAGAAATCAAACTTCTAAATCATACAAAACTCTTTTTTTACAAATATAACACAGTAAAAGCATTACTTATTAGTGGTTTTACTAAATTTCTATAAGCATATACATTCAGATTAGCAATTCTGGATTTAATAGATGAACTAGTTCCAAGTTGAAATTAAATAATATTTAAACTAAAGAGGGTGAGCACAGCATGTTTTTCTATAGAGTGAAAGTCATGACAATAAACTTCATTCTCAAAAGTTCACGATAAAGCTCCACAAACAGCACCAGGACATCTTAACTCAATTGGGCTAATAAATATCAAACAAATTCATTAAATTAAAAAAAAAAAAAAAAAGAATTCATGTAGATATGAAACGATACATAAAAAACTAATCATTAGTAACCTTACCCCAATTATTTGAGATCAGTTTTATGAATCAGATAAAAAACAATGCATCAAAAACCTTGGCATCTCTTTTTTTCTATTAGTATTTGTTGATAATTAGTAATATCTCACCTAATAAAGTTGTATATTATATAGCCAATCTTTTACTCAATTAATTATAAGTCCCTATTTTCTAAAAATTTCATCCATTTTTCTAACTTCGCATTCATTTCAAGAGAGATGTAATTGATGAGAACTATGTCATTTATGACATACAACAATGCATATCACTTTGAATACTGGTTGCAAACAACTCAATAATTAATAAAAAATATATATGAAGTTATTATGGATCCTTGATATAATCCAACTATAATTGAACATTCTTTAGTTATTCAACAACTACTAATATTAGCAAATGCTCTATCATATAAATATTTAACATCTATTTGACACATTTCTTTCTCAATTCGCAAGAAATAAATTCTCATAATACTCGATGATATATCTGCTCAAGATTAATAAAAAATATGATGATCCTTCCTTTGATCTCTCTATAACTCTATTAATTGTCTTAATGCAAAAATCAATTTCATGTTATATCTTTTGAACATTACACCAAATTGAATCTCAAAATTTGATGTAATCTTTTAAAGTTCATGTTATATTAATAGCTGGTGTAGCTTCATTGTATGATTCATAATTTTGATTTCTGTACAATTATCATAATCTTGAGCATAAGTGTCAATAGAGTAAAATGGTGTGTGGCATGGCACTTGATGTAATCATATTCACCCCATATGCCATAGTCATAGCATGGTAAACATGTTTAAAATGGTTAGCATCGTGGTGCCAAGTGCATAACTCACACCCTGTACACCATCTTAATTTGTTTTTAATATTTTAATCCTTACTTTTGTTAATAATAATTAAAAATTCTCACTTAACCACTAAACTAAGCAGACAAATACTAAAATGAAATAAAATAACATATGATTAAAAATTTTACAAAAATAAATCATACTCAATCGGCCCATCCTCCAGGCCACAATTATATAAAACTTGAATTCTTGTAATGTATGCAACTGATTGATGGCTAAAAATATGGTTTATCTACCCCCAATTTGTTCGATTTTGTGATTAAAATGATTAGCCTCATAAATAGTGCATCAGGGTAACAACGTAATTAGAGTGTGTTTGAACTTGCAAGAAATTGTGATCTTAAATAATTAAAGCATAAATAGAATATTTAAATAGATTTATATTTTAGATAGTCCTAATACACTATATTGCAACTCCATTAAAAAAAAAATAACTTGGAGCATGATTAGGTCAAAATTTTGACATTTACAAAATAAAATAGGCTTCAATCCAATGGGAAAACCATAGTTGACCCGATTTCTATAGATGAGATTGATTATGTCAATGATTTGTTAATTGAAAAATGAGACAATTATTTGTTGTTTGTTGATGAAGATAAAACTTGGGGAATGTGGCTAGTTCTAGTGGTGCTTACAAAAGGAGATAAAATATTCCATTTACCTCCAAAGAAAAAGAATATATAGTATCTATTTAGCCCTAGAACACTGTTTAATGAAGAAGACGAAGTTAATGAGAAAGATAAAAAAAAAATTAAAACAAAAATTAATGAGAAAGATGATCTCTTATGGAATGAAGATAATGTTGAATTTGTCTGTGATGATGAGGAGGAATTACAATTAGAAATCTATTATCTTGGATGAAATATTTTATCTAAGTTGCTGTTCAAACATGTTAGTGAATTTTGAGTCTCATTTAATCTATAATGAGTTGGATGAATTGCATCTAATGTCATACACTAGTTTTTTGTCCTGAATTATTAGAATATTCTTCATTTTTATGTGATTTTGGCATCATTTTTACAATGGAACGTGCCGCACCATGCACCATGCACCATACACCATACACTATGCTCCAGAGAGCTCTTAATTTATAATGTGCCCTTTCTCCATTAACTACTATCTCAAATGTCCCATTTGTCCTTAAATATTGGTACCAAAATATTTCTTTTTCAATCATTAGGCATCCTCCGAGCCTTCAAAATTTCATTAAGAAATTATGTTAACCAACCCACTGAAGGCCCCCCATAACTATCCAAATCTTAATAATTATCACATAAGAATCCAAACCTACCACTTTATGCATCTTCTTTAGATCTAAAATCACTTTTTTTTTTATCAAACTACAATATACTTCATTATTTTATTCATCATGTTCATCCATAATAATTTCTTCTTCCTTAAGAGACATGTTTAATAGTTTCTCACTTTCTCAAAATAGCATTTCCATTTTTCCTGGATATCTTCATTTTTTAACTAAGATCCTATTGCCCATGCATTTTCTACATCTAACTTGAACAAAAACTTTAGATCTTTTATATCTGATTTATTTGATAAAATCTTATTTTCTCATTCCTTAATACCAAGCATAATATATAAATTCTGAAATGCCACAACTTTAATTTATTCAGTGACCTCTTTGCAAGATTTCCAACTTGAATATGAACATCATAAGTATATCAGTCCAAACTCTTAACTATCGAGATTTTATCTGCTTTGGTCAAAAAGTCTCACGGTTTTGTTCTGTTGATGTAACTTCCCAATAGATCACCCATCCAAGAATTGCTCCAAGATGAGCACACCTAACCGCAAATTTTCTCAATGAAATTTCAATCATTACACTAAAAGGCACATCGATGTTTAGGAGTTTAGCTTATTTTACTTAAAGAGTTTCACAATCTCTCCCACTTAAGTAATTAACGTCCTCGTCGGTATCCTTATCCCATATCATCCACCAGGCAAATAGGATTTTAGAGATGGCCCCTATAAGTTCAAGTGGTGGCTCCCATCACGTAAAACACCCATCCTAGAATTGCTCCGGGATGAGCACGCTTAACTGCGAAGTTTCTCAATAAAATTTCAATGCACCTTGAAGTTCAAGGGTTTAGTTTATTTTACTTAAGGGGTTTCACAATCTCTCCCACTTAAGTAATTAACATACTCGTCGGTATCCTTATTCGAGAATCATCCACCAGACAAATAGGATTCTAAAGATGGCCCCTATAAGTTCAAGTGGTGGCTCCCATCGCATAGAACTTTGCCCCAACAAGGTTCAAGAGGTGGCTCTCATGGCATAACACTTTATCTTGTATGACACTTCGTTCCCATCTTCCGACTTGTATATCAATCTGATATCATTTGTAGCAGCTCAAACTCTTAACTATCGAGATATTGTCCGTTTTGGTCTAAGAGCATGATTTTTTTCCTATTAGTAACTTCCTAATAGGTCACCCATCCCAGAATTGCTCCAGGATGAGCACGCTTAAATGTGGAATTTCTTAATGAAATTTCAATCATTACACTAAAAGGCATCTGGATGTTTACAAATTTAGCTTATTTTACTTGGTTTCATAAGCTTCCACACTTAAATAATTGACATCCTCATCAGTATCCTTATCCCATAATCATCCACCAGGCAAATAGGATTCTAGAGATGGCCCCCATAAATTCAAGTAGCGGCTCCCATCATGTAGCAATTTGTCACATACAGGTTCAAGAGATGGCTCCCATGACATAGCACTTTGTCTTGTATGACACTTAGTTTTCATCTTCTAGTGGTGTATTGCTCTGATATCATTTGTAATAGCTCAAACTCTTAACTATCGAGATATTATCCGCTTTAGAATAAGAGCTTTACGGTTTTGTCATGTTAGTATAATTTCTCAGTAGGTCACCCATCCCAGGATTACTCCGAGATGATAACGCTTAACTACGGAGTTTCTTGATGAAATTCAAATCATTATATTAAAGGGCGCCTCAATATTTAAGAATTTAACTTCTTTTCAATATTTAAGAATTTAACTTCTTTTATTTAAGGGGCTTCACGATAAGGCTCATTAGTATTTAACTATTATCACTCCTTAAAAAGCATATTTATTTTTTAAAAAAGAATTTGTACCTTATTACACCACCAACAAGTCTCCTTACTAATGTAAGATATATTTCTAAATTCCATGAAGATAAACTTCTTAATAAAACTAGAAATCTTATCCACTAATGAATTCTAATTTGACTCTTTTAGCATCCTATCTCGAATGGTTATAACTCTTTGCATTAAAAGATCCTATCTCGAATGGTTATAACTCTTTGCATTTCAAATTATGCAAATTTGTCCTAGGACAATAACTTCATTCGATTGTTTGCATATATCCCTAGCCACTACTTCAAATTGTATGCTTGAACTCACACCAAAAGCCACCTTACAATTTTTACAAAAAGATTTTATTTCCCTTGAAGTAAGAAAAAAATCTATTTTGTGATTCGGTGGCTTCACATTTGAAATTAATTAGGTTTTTTCTCATTTTTTGAAGTATGTGCTCGTTATGTCAATATCGTAGGCTATTGTCAGACCAACTAAAATTTCTGCTCAGGAAAAGCACTATACGGAAGCCCCTCTTCCTCTCCTATAGAATCCCCAAACCCGGCTCTGTCTCTTTGAAAGAGAAAAGCCAATCAACTTCGGCGAAGGAAGAAATGAAATGTCGAGAAGGAGATCCTAAGTAACAAATTTTCTAACAACTTCGATATATATATATATATAGAAAGAGAGAGAGAAACTGTGAACAGAAACAGAGCAGCGAGCGAGGACCAGTGACTTAACACTTTAAAATCTCATTGATAAAAAAACAAGAAACATACTTAAATGGCTACTATGATCACATTATTCACATACAAATACTCAATCATATCAAACCACAAACCACTCAAACATATGTAGATTAGCACATTAAGAAAACAATTAAGAAGAAAACCAATAAACAAAGAAATATAGACTCACCTCTGAACACTGTTCATCAATTTCATGACGGAGTTTCAAGACATACTCCGCACTGATATCCACGTTGTTCAAAGCAGTAGCAATTTCTGTGCCAGTCTTCTGCACTCCAACACCGCCCAAGAACAGCTTGGCACCTAAGTTAGGCTCCCTCATCTTCTGCTGCAGAGCATCCTGGTACTCATTTGTAAGAAGGTTGATCGCTCCACTCAACAAGGCAATGACCGAATTACTACTCCCAGTGGAGATAGCTCTCCTGCAACAGCTCTGCAATACATAGAACACATCGTCCACCATTGAGGTTGTAAGGCTATCAGGCACATGCTCATCAATGGTTATAGCCTTCCGCACATTCTCCACCATGAAGAACTCCTCAAGTATCACATAGAACCCGGTTAGATCTTGTACCACTCTATTGAAGCTCCCACTCCTAAAAGCCTTTGTAGCTCGTGGACCCAATTCAGGATCCACAGAACTCAATCCCCTGATCTTTGATACCATGAACTCAGTGTAATCCTCTCCCAGCTGCGTGAGCGAGAGGATTTCCTCCAGATACAACTCCACCTCTCTTGGATCAGGACCCTCCGTAGAACCAACAGATAGCAAGTTCTTGCTATAGGAGTTGATCTCGGAGGCAAGGCGTAACAGCTTCCTGTAGTCCATGTATTTCTTCAATATCTGGGTGCCCCGAGAATCACACTCTTCTTGTAGTTCACAAATGGCATAAACGATCCCATCTTCACCACAAAGGCTATGCAGGACGTCATCATTCTCCTCCACGGCAAGAACAATGTCTTTGAAGAGATTAGTGAGGCATGTAACAAAATTTGAGCCTCCCTGCCCCAAATTGGAGGTAATGTGGCTACCCTGCTCCGCAATCTCCGCTAGGTGCTCAAATTCTAGCCTGGATCTGAGGGCAATGACCTTTCTGAGATAGGACACATAGATCTGAAGGCCCTCTTCCTGAAGACCAAGCGGAGGAAATACACGGACGAAGCGGAGGATTGTAGGATGGTCCCTCTTGTCGACGGCGGCGGCAAGGCGATTGCGCACAATGGACTCAAGCCGGCGCTTACACTCGAGGAGCTGCTCGCGCTGGTCGGATCCGGAGTCACGAAAGCGGGCATCGATCTGGAGGAAGGTGTGGATGAATCTTGCGGCGGAATCATAGTCATCGGAATCAAGGGCGCGGCGAGCACTGTCGAGGCAGTGGGAGCGCTCCACGATGGCGTCGATGCGGGAAAGGGTGGACTCTACACGGGATTGTGCGAGATCGAGCTCGCGTACCTTTCGACTGACCTGGTCGGCGAGGTTGGCGGTAGAGCGGACGGAGTCGAGAAGGATGTCAGCGTCGGAGCGGGCTAAGTCGAGGAGATGGGAGGACCGCTGAATGGAGATGAGGTGGCGGTCTAGGTCCGTGCGCTGAGAGAGGAGGGACTCTAGGCGAAGGTCAAGGCCACGTTGATAGGCGATGCATTCATGGAGGAGGCGTGTCATGGCGCCGACCTCGGTGAGAGATCGTATGTGGGCTAGGGTTTCAGGGCTTCCAAAGTCAACGGAAGAAGAAGTTTGTTCTCCACCACTGTCGCCGGAGCCGTGAACGGGCTCCGGCAGCGAGGCGGGTCCGTTTGGGTAGATGGGGGAGGCGACCGCCATTGCGCTTGGTTACCTCTCAGATCTCGGTTTAATCTTATGGAAAAGAAAAAAGGGGGATTTGCATACATATCAGTTTATATTATGTTATTTATTAACACTTAAAATTTTCCCCAATTTTTCTAAAAAAAAAGTAAAAAACACTTAAATTTTAAATATTTTATGCATATAATCCATAAATAAAATATAAAAACTAAAATTTATAAAATATTATAGGTTGTAGAAATAAAATATAAAAATGACATTTTTTTATATTAAAGTATTTATAAGTGATAGATACTAAAAATTGGAATGTTAAATATATAAATAATATGATATAAGATGATACTTATATAAATAAAAAAAAAATGGTAGATAGTATTTTTTATAAACAAACTCAATTATTTAATTTATTGATTTTTAATAATATTGCACCAAATGGCCACATAGAGCAAAAAAGAGATACTAATTATTATTAGAGAGAGCTCCAATGAAAGATAAGATTAGAGAGAAACGTCTTAGATGATTTGATCACATAAAATTGCGGCCATCTGATGACCTAATTAGAAGATTAGATGTATTAAATATGGCTTAGGTTAAGAAAAATAGAAATAGACCTAAAGAAACTTCATCAAAAAATATTAAAAAAATCTATTTATTAAATTTAAATGAAAATTTGACTTTTAATCAGACAATGGAGAAAAATGATTCACACTTTTAACCAAATTTTAATCAAACAGGGTTTAAAGATTATTTATATTGGTTTGAATATTAATCAAATCTTAATCAAAACTTGTTCGAATATAATTCAATTAAAAACCTCATGCTCCGATCTTCTGGAGTCTCATAGAAAATAAATCAATATAATAAAAGTATAACAGGATAAAATCGAATCAATGATCAATATAACCAATATTATATGAAGATAATACTTAAACAGAAGCAATCAATAACATATATGATTAGTTAAATACATCATAACAATAGTTAATTAAGATATCATTATAAATTGAAAAGCAAGCCTTTAACTTTAAAGATAATATATTTAATAATGGTATAATTATGACAAAATAATTGTTGTAATGTAAATCAAGTGATTGTTTGCCCCATGAAATGAGCATATATTTATGTTAATTATTATTATTATTATTAGATATGTTTGAATGCAAGAATTATAATAGCTTGTATTTTGATCCAAGAAAATAAAAATTTTTAGAAGTCATTTTAAGACATTTAAAAACTATCTTCACCATAATATTTATATTGTATTATTTTAATTACATGAACCTTTTTGTAATTTTCAAGCACTGATGCAAATCCTTGAGAAACTAACACATCTCGGCACAGTCAGGTGTTCATTTTGCAAAACGATTTCACTAATATTTTGAAAACAAAATAAGTTAATTTGTGCATATTTTTCTATAATTTTTAATCACATCAATTATTTCATAAACTTTGTTCGAACAAGAATCAAACCCTAAATATGTTGTTTGATGCTTGTAGGTTTTTAAACATATGGTTATCCTATTATCTTCTTGACCATTAATTGATGACTATATTCAAACTTCTATAATCAACTCATTTGATTGTCTTCATGTTTGGTAGAATTCATAAACATCGCAAATGCGTTGGACATTTCAAGCATAATACAAGGAAATTTCAAGTAAATGAAAATAAATAAATAAATAAATAATAACAAATATCATAAAATTATCATCGATATCTACTAATCAAATAATAAAATTTAAAAATCATTAAGAAAAAAAGCTCAAAATAAATGTTCAATATAAGCTCACTTAAGAAACAAATCGAATACAAACTACTTGCCAAGCCAAACAAAAGTTGTTCATCAGGGTGGAGAATATCTTGGTCTACTAATTTTTGTGCAAAATATCAATAACAAAATTATTAAAGTTATTGGCTAACACAACAAGCTCTTTATTTGAGATATCTTAAGGATAAAATTAGGCAAGCAATCAATCTTTATCTATCAAAAGCTAAAAAAAAAACAATTTGTTTAAATTGACAAAATTCGTACAAAGAATAAACTTAGTATTTATTTCGTCAAATATATTATTGCTTTATAAATTAAATATCTAAGTAAAATAACCCTAAATTTGATAATAATATGAAGCCCATCAACTTGAACTTCACATAACAAACATCTCATTCATATTTGAAATAAGTATCAATTTGCAACTCTTAAGACTACATGCCTTGATATTTTCTTTCTAAAACCTGATATATAGAGGACAATGGCTCAAAGACTAAAGGATATAACCGCTAATTGTTCATCACATTGGGCTCAACTGGTCCATAATGAAGCACAACAAAGTGTTTGAGTGCAATCACAGGCATAAATATGTTATAAACCTCTTACTTGGTGGCACTATCGTAGTCAGTTTGATCAATTGAGATATGATTACGCTAACTGAGTACGAGATATATGCGAAGTTAAACAAATCTAGCTCACTACAGGTAGCCTTAAGTTAAGCACAAAGAAAATCAGTGTCCCTCCTGACAAGCGTGCGATTTACTTAGGCTTCGTTTGGGACGGCTTTCTTTCTGCTTCTTAAAACAGCTTCTTAGTACAAAAATTTTAATTTTTATACTAAGGAGCTACTTTAAGAAGCAATAAAAAAACCATCCCAAACAAAAAAGCCTTAATCAGATGAGGTTCATATTAATTACCCTTGACTTGGGAGATTATGACCCAACCTAGAAATGTATGAGGGCATTTCATATTCTATATTTACATTAAGAAACTCAAGAATCTAAGACTCCCTATTATCATTAAACTTATTATGCACAAATCTCGTTGCAGGACTTCTATCCATGTCTCCTTAATCTATCTTTTTTACTCTTCAAAGCTATTGACCCTAATCATGTTTACCATCTTATGAGTGCTTTTTCTACCCTTACTGTACATTTCTAAATAAAAAAATAACTATTTTGCAGTATCTTACATTCAATAGATGCCTAAATATAATCATTTCTTAATCTATCATCCTTGATAATGCCACCCATCCATCATAAGATCATTTTTATATCACATTCAACTTGACCAATTCCATACTTCTATAATAATTTACCAAAATTATTCTACCCTTAAAAGACTTGGATGCGATACTCCAGATGTATAGATTTGTCACATTGGAGAGTAATATAGATTGCCTTAATAAACAAGAATTTGAGAAGGCTGGGCCAAACACCTTTCCTTTTTAAAAAAAGAATAATGAACCAAGCCTAAATAAGCAAAAAATGAAACCTGAGAACCAATCATCACACAATGAGCTTAACGAGAAATGCCTGTAATCAGCAAATTAATAGACATCTTTATCAAAGATCCTCCAGGGTTGTCTCCTATACGAGAAGTGAAATTTACTAATGAACTTTAACCATCACCAGACCAATATCTAAGGCAACATATGGAATGTCAATGATAGGCAAAAAGAATTCAAGATACAATCACAACTTCTCAATACTGGATTCATTAGGCCACGTGTGTCAGTGTTACATCAACAACAATTTCAAGCCTTCATCCCACTACATGGGGTCAGCTAAATGAATTCTTTTTCTCCAGCATGTATTGTTAAGCGTCAAATTTATATTTAAATCTAACAAAAAATATCATTTCTAATATTTTCTAACTAAGTTTTTTCAAGTTTACCTTTACCTTTCTTAAAATAAGCCAAATCTAATGCATCTACTCTCCTAACTAGGCAATGGAAAGGCCAATATTTTATATGACCAAACCATCTAAGGAAGCTTTCTCTAATCTTATCTCCCGCTGGACCTACTCCAACCGTTCATGTATATACTCGTTTCACATTTTGTCTCTAAGAGTGAAGCCACTCATCCACCTGAGCATCCTCATCTCTACAGCACTTAACTTAATTTTATGCTTATCTTTTTAATGACCACCATTCTGCACCATAAAACATTGCATGTCTCACCACCAACTTATAAAATTTCGCGTAAGTTTGAAGGGGTACTTTTCTATAACACAACAGCTTCCTCAATTTCAACCATCCAACTTGAATTCTACTAATAATATCCCCATATATTTCAACATCACTTTGAACAATAGACTCGAGATATCTAAAATGAGTACTCTTATTAATGACTTGATCGCACAAAATCACAATCCCCCCACTAGATCTATTTCTACTAAAATTACATTCCATGTATTCAGTATTAAATCTACTCAAACAAAAAACTTAAGACTCTAAATTTGGCCTTCATAGTTCAAGTTTATATTCAACTCCCTCTATATTCTTATCAACAAGAAGAAATATCATCAACAAAAAACATACACCATGGTATATCTTCTTACAAATGTCTAGCAAGAACATTCATGGCTAGAGCAAAAAGATATGGGCTTAAACATGATCCTTGATGTAATCCAACTGAAATAGGAAAATATTTGGAAAAACCACCTTTTGTTTGAACACAAGTAACAACTCTTGTATATGTATCTTTAATGACTTGAATATAAGCATTATTAACCCCTTTCTTTTCTAGAACTCTTCAAAGCACTTCTCTTAGAACTTTATCATATACTTTTTTTCTAAATCAATAAATATCATATGTATATCTTACTTATTCTATCTATACTTCTCAATCAAACATTCCAATAAATGTATAGCTTCCATAGTAGACTTACCCGACAAGAATCCAAATTGATTTTGAGAAACATTAGCACCACATCATAACCTATGCTCAATAATTCTCTTCCATAATTTTAAAGTATAACACATAAACTTGATTCCTTCATAATTTGTGTATTCTGATCCATCACTTTTATTCTTAAAAATATGAATCAACACACTCCACTCAACTGACATCTTTTTGGCCATCCAAATAATAATGAAATTTTTTGTAAACCAATAAATTCCTTCATCTCCTAAACATTTCCACACCTATATTAAAATATCATCAAGTTCAACAGGTTTCCACACTTCATTTTATTTAAAGCCTCTATAACTTCAGTTCTATTAATACACCAATAAAAATAAAAATCTATATTTTCATTTAGGATGCAAAGTTCAATAAAATCAATTGTATTCTCACAATCTTCA